GACTGTAGCACCACAGGCAACAAGGAAGACCAAAAAGAGGAATTAGACTTTTTGTAAGGAAAATGATAAATTTGGCCTCAGACATGCTGAATTTGAGGTGATGTTGTTAAGTACTGAAGCCAAAAAGTTCAGTGCAAAGTTGAAGACATGTGGCTAGGGCACACATATATATGTATAATTATATACATAAAAGTTTTTATTATGGAATACTTAAAATGTATCAAATATAGACTAGTAAACTTCCATATTCCCATCACCTAGCTTCAGCAGTGATCTTGACCAATCTTGTTGCATCCATACTCCCCAGCCACTTCCCCCAGACACATCGTATTACACTGAAACAAATTCCAGACATAGAGATAGACATTTAAAAGTATGAAGCACAGAAAATGGAGATTTGGAAAGCTGTCAGAGAACCTTAAAGCAAATCTCATTTTATAGATGAGCAAAGTAAAACACTAGAGATAATAATTCACTCCAATCTAAAAAAAAAAAGGTAGAGCTGTAACTGGAATCCGGTTACTTGCAAACGCCTTTGTCAAGTTTTCAGCTATCAGAGATGAAATGAGAAAAATAAGGATGAAATGCAAATTTTTCATAAAGCTAAAATCTACTGAATTTTAAAAATTACTATACATATATATATACACATATACTTTGTCTTGTGTTTATTTGTAATTCTGTCAAAATACACCAAATGTGCCGTACGTCATAAAATAAGTCATAAAATATAACTCTAAAGCAGGTCCTCACTCGTAACGACAGAACAAGGGAACCGTGTTTACTTAATTACCATGGTTGGTTTCCACATTGTGGCCTCAAAGCCTCTCAGGTCATTCCAAGTGTGCCTTCGAGACAACAAAAGAGTCCTATCTGTCCGGAGTCAGTTTACTTGTGACTGCCAGCAAAGTCACCTTGGGTGACATGTCACCTCTTGTACCACAGCTACATAAATTTATGGAGTGATTTTGTGTTGTGTTGAGCAGAATATACAAGACAATAAAAGTGGGTTGGTATTAGTTCCACCGAAGAGCAAAACCTGAATAACATTCAGCCTGTAAAAAGAAAATACTGTAGTTTTATCAGAAAAGTGATGTTCATGGATTCAGCTTAGATTTATTAATCAGTATGAGTCATAGTTTAAATATGTGGCAATGTTCTTTGTAAAGACATGAAACCACAAAAAAATTTAACTTTTTGAAAAAAAATTGAATTTAAAAATGTACTTGGTGTTAGAAATACTAATAGGATGGCATTGAAAAGATCTTACAAAGCAGCATTGAATATTGCAGTCTAAAGTCACTTAAATATTTCAGGCATTAAAATGTTTGATAAATAAAGATGTTTGCTTTGATGTGGCAAAAAACACTTAGAAATTGATTCAGCACCTGTCATGTCATACAATTACTGGAAGAGGTAAAATAAATGTGTACATATGATTAGTTTTTTCAGCTAACTGAAATTTCAAACTGCATAAATATGACAAAAATATATTACATAAATTTTCATAATATAGTACTTTGGTGTAGGATTGCCATCTGTCCTTTCTTGGAAAACTGGTCCTTGTTCAGAATGTATGCCCTTCTTGTTTTGTATTACATGTTCTTTCACTCATGAAATAATGATGATAGTAGATGGTAGCTTGTAAAAAATAACATATTTAATTGAAAAAAAAAATTAACAATACTAGGACCACTTCCAGTAAAAACTAATGTTTTGGTTTGTAAAACGCAGACACGAGAAAACCACTGCATTCTAGTACCCCAGCTGATAGAGGAGCAGAGATGTGAGAGAAGGAAGAGGTTGCCAAGGGAAAGAAAGATCCTAAGGAATAAGAAGCAAAAGGTCAATAGTTGAGACTTAGAGAAGCACTCAGAAGAAGTTTGAAGATCATTGAAGGAGAAGAAAGGAAGAGGAAGGGCATTAGTATCTGGCTTCTACCCTACTGGGGAAGTCCCTGGATGATACAAACAGTTAATGCTTCAGCTGCTAACCTAAAGATTGGAATTCAAGCCTACTCAGAGGCACCTCGAAAAAAAGGCCCGGTGGTTTACTTTTGAAAAATAAGTCACTGTAAACCTATGGAGCACAGTTCAACTCTGACACACATGGGGTTGCCACGAGTTGGAACTGACTCAACAGTAACTGGTTCAACTAGTCACCCAGCTGAGTACTTTATATCATGTAACTATATTTAATTTTCATGATGAAACTGTGAATTAGGGGCTCTTTCCCCTACCACTAACTACCTTGTTTGCTGCCTCACGCAAGAGACATTTAAAATGAGAGCAGAGAGGTTTGGTTATAAGGAGGTCATTAGAAATGACTGAAAGATCAGTGTGAGCCACAGTGGTGGGAACAGAAGCTAGACTGCCAGCAAATTAAGCTAACCAACGAGGTTAGGTTACAGACAAATATTATTTATTTTTGTTTAAATATGTTGTTGCTGTTGGGTGCCACAGAGTTGGTTCCAACTCATAGCGACCCTACGTACAACAGAACGAAAGGCTGGCCTGGTCCTGTGCCAGTCTCACAATCGTTGCTATGTTTAAGCCCATTGTTGCATCCACTGTGTCAATTCATCTCATCTAGGGTCTTCCTCTTTCTCACTGACCCTCTACTCTACCAAGCATGTTGTCCTTCTCCAGAGACTGGTCCCTCCTGACAACATATCCAAAGTACGTAAGACATAGTCTTGCCATCCTTGCTTCTAAGGAACATTCTGGCTATACTTCCAAGACACATTTCATTCTTCTGGCAGTCCGTGGTATATTCAATATTCTTCACAACACCGTAATTCAAAGACATCAATTCTTCTTCTGTCTTCCTTATTCATTGTCCAGCATTCACATGCATATGAGGTGACTGAAAATACCACGGCTTGGGTCAGGCACACCTTAGTCCTCAAAGTGACATCTTTGCTTTTAAACACTTTAAGGAGGTCTGTTGCAGATCTGCCCAGTGCAACAGACCATTTGATTTCTTGATGACTGTTTCCATGGGCTAAAATCTGACAAGAGGTTTTAAAATACTAAAATTATAAAGCTCCTTTTTTCCCCTAATACCAATTATTATTTACACACACGGTGTAAAAAATTCCAACATTGCCGATATCTACTGTAAAATACCTAAATGAAACCCTCCATAGTCCCACCCCTCAACCCTACTCTCCAAAGATTCTCACTATTAACACAAAAGATTAAATTTATCCCCAGAGGCAATAAGATTCTGGCCAATGAGTCCTCTTCAAGCTTCTTTTAACTGTGTTTATTCCTAAAAACTGTCCAATTTTACTTTTCAATTTCAAAACTAGCTCAAATGTTTTCAAAGCACTCATGATTTAAAAAAAAAAAACTATGGTTAAATGAATCTGTTTACGGAGGCGGGATGAGAAGGCAGAAAGGGACAGGAGCTGGGTGAATGGACACGGGAAACCCAGGGTAGAAAGGGGGAGTGTGCTATCACATTACAGGGATTACAACTAGGATCACCTAACAATGTGTGTATAAATTTTTTATGAGAAACTAACTTGAGCTGTAAACTTTCACTTACAGCATAATTAAAAAAAAAAAAGAATCTGTTTAATATCTTCTGTCCAACTTCTCATTAATTAACTTTCACTTTCCTCTGGGTAGTGGGAGAGGAGAGCTAGTTAAATGCACTTCTACTCATATCCTTACAAATGACCCCAGCCTTCAGCCTCCCACTGTACCTCTGCTACAGGGTGCTGACACCTTAATAGTTGCCTGGTCCTTGTTTCCTTGAAATCAAACCTACTCAGCACTTAACAGTTATGCTACAAACAGAAATGGGGAGAAGAGAAAGAGGGAAGCCAGAGTCCAAGGGTTCATACACTCTTTGGAAAATCTCTGACCTCATTCTCTCCTTTGGGTGGAGACACCACTAAGAAACCACCTACACAGAGGTGCTAGTCTCTAGCTGGCTAAGCCTCCCCCATATTCCCTTGGGGAGGATGCTGCGGCTATAAAGTGCCAAAATTTGCTGACAATCTAAATTTCCCAAGTAATCTGATGCTAACAGTTTTTAAAGAAATGAAAGTATAGATGTATCAAAGCAAAACACCTATCCTTCCTTCCTTCCAATATTTAAAACTATTAATTGAATTAGCAAAGCAACATTAACATAAAACCATAATACCAAAGCAACATTTACATAATTTTACATTATTTTGACAAGCAGCCCATACTGAATATACAAAAAAAAACTGTTTACCAAGTGTTATGGATTGAATTGTGTCCCCTTAAATTGTGTCAACTTGGCTAGGCCATGATTCCCAATATTGTGTGAATGTCTGCCATTTTGTGATCTGCTGTGATTTTCCTATGTGTTGTAAATCCTACCTCTATGATGTTAATGAGGCAGGATTAGAGGTAGTTATGTTAATAACGCAGGACTCAGTCTATGAGATTAGGTTGTGTCTTAACCTCTTTTGAGATATAAAAGAGAGAAGTGAGCAGAAAGACAGGGGGACCTCATATCACCAAGAAACAAGAGCCAGGAGCATGCGTCCTTTGGATCTGAGTCCCTGTGCTTAGAAGTTCCTAGACCAGGGGAAGACTGATGACAAGGACCTTCCTCCTGAGCAGACAGAAAGTTTTCCCCTGGAGCTGGCGCCCTGAATTCAGACTTCTAGCATACTAGACTGTGAGAGAATAAAGTTTTCTTTGTTGAAGCCACCCACCTGTGGTATTTGTTATAGCCGCACTAGATAACTAAGACACCAAGCTGAAGAGAAAACAACCAAGGACAAACAAATACGTATTTCACGTTTATCTTTTAAAAGTAGTTCTATTTCTCCTAGATTCTATCATTTACTTTCTTTCAACAATAACCCAAGTGCCAATGGGACACTAAACAAAAAACCACCATTCTGAGGCAGACTCCTTGCTGTGGAGGTTTCTGGTTCTGAGACTGGCTCTAAGAAATATTTATTAAGAATAAAGTTGTTGTTGTTTTTTAAAAAAGGCTTCTTCAAAAGGAGAAAAAAAATTTTATTTAGCAATTATTTTCTGAAGTTGTTTTTAATTTATGAGAATTAAGAAGGGAAATAAATACAACTTTGCTGTAAAAGTTTTATATTCTGTTAAATTTTTGAAAATCATACATTAAAGTTTTTTAGTTCATGTACCTGTCCCATTTACTCAAACATCATACAGTAATAATATACAGATATTTTGCTAACAATATAAAATAAAAAATTTTTTGAAGTGGCACAACAAATCATTTTTGAGAATTACTTTTATCATGTTTTCTAATAATGTCCATAAGATTAGCTCCTGTAACCAGATTGCTCTGTGTCTGTTTAACTTTCTGCTGTTCCTTTCTCTTCTGGTCATGAAGGTAAGGGGAATTGAGTAACTGTGGGGGAAGAATGGTTCCTGTAGGTTTTACCCTTTTTGTAATATCCCAGAAAAGTCTTTTTGAATTGTTATTGATGAAAGTAATCGCTGTTCCTCTTTGCCCTAATCTTCCCACTCTTCCAACCTGAAATGAAATGCAAAGGATATTTTCAAAATATATTTAGAAAATCTTAATGTCTCCTGAAAGAAAGTAAAGACTATTGTTGAAAGAAGCTTTACTAAGATTAACATTCATTCTGATACCCTTTTTCAGTCTGTGGATCTCAATATACTTGTGAAATCAACTAAGTGGGATGCCATCAGTATATTTTTTATAAAAAGAACAAAATAAAAAATGTGAGTGATCACATATAGCAAAATTAAGTACTGTTTCTAAAACTTGTGTTTTAGTAACACCTGTGTGTGTGTGCATGCGCGTATGGGGTTCATAACATAAAGGTGTTTCCTACTGTGGGTAGGCTAAGGTTAAAAATTTTGAAAATCTCTGCATTAACCACAAGAGAACTATTTGCTTTAGAGCACTGAAGTGCCTTGGAATGTGAGATTTCAACTATTTCATTTTTACATAAAGTTGTTTCTCACTTTGACATAATCAAATTGACACAAATTTGTGATAGAGACCCATAATAAGGAAGAAAATTGATCTGTCTCCAAATAGATACTGTATTTTTATGCAAATAACATGTGTCTTCTATGTTTATTTGCCAACCGTGCCCTCCAGCCCAGAGGTATTTTCATAAGCATCACTATGCCAATTTTTTTTTTTTACATGTTGTTGTAAAAAAAAAATCGGCATAGCACACTTATGAAAATATCTTGCGGGGAGGGCGGGGGGATTGGGAGGGAGCCACGGTTGACAAACAAATGTAGAAGGCATGTGTTATTTGCATAAAAATACAGTTTAATAAAAATCTACTGAGAAACTCTTCAGAAGAGGGAGGAAAATAGACAATCATAGTCAATTTCTGCTCCTTAATTGAAATGTAGAATTTGGAAATACTTAAATGAATGGATGGTTCCTGCCAAAATACAGGGAATTCTTTAAAGTGCAAAAGAAATCTCTAAAAATGTTGACATGGGTTGTCTCCAGAGAAAAAGGCTGGAGAGAAGTGAGCCAAGGGAATGCTATTTTTTATTTTGAGCCTTAATTATTATGTGATTTATTTAATCAAGTGACTAAATTGTTCTGAGGCACCTCTGGGTGGGTTCAAACCACCAACTTTTCAGCCAGTATTGAGTGCTTAATTGTGTGCGCCACCCAAGGACTCCTCAATATATGTTACCATTTATTAAATAGCGGCTATTATGTATAATGATAAAGCCGTCTACTATATATTTAACAAAGAAAGCAAGGTGTGTAACAGTTGGCATGATATGGTTCCACTGATGTAAAAACTATAAAAGGATATGCACATATGTGTATGCACATACATCTATATGCATATTTTCTGCACAGTTAACTGGTAACACTCAAGGGTAGGACTAAGGGGATGGAAAAAAGAAGACTTACTTGTCATTTTATATCTTTTGCTCTTTGAATTGTATATATGTTATCGTGTGTATGTGCACTTCAATTATGGAAACATACGAACACCCAGAAACAGAACTAGATAAGCACAGGAATCAGGGGCCATTCTGAGTAGAAGCAGGAAACCCTACAACTTCAAAAATCCTTGAGGATTTTACTGTATTATAGCATGAAACCTGGGAATAATTAAGAGCCAAAGAGTTGACTTTGGGATATCAAGAAAAGGTTAAACAATTATAATCAGCATGCACTGTTTAAGACGCAGAAAAGCTTTTTAAATATTTTACTATTTTAGAAGGACTTCCATCTAAAATTATTAAAATAAAAATTTGAAAGAAAATAAACGAGTTAATTGAACAATCAACTCCTGTAGAATACTCAGTTCCCTGATGTGCAGGTAAATAAATGAAGTAGTGCCAAAAAAGGGGGAATGTACTAGGACTAATGAACCACAGCTACCAAGGCCTCCACTGGACTGAGTCCAGTACAGCTAGATGGTGCCCGGCTACCACCACTGACTGCTCTGACCAGAATCACAACAGAGGGTTCTGGACAGAGCTGGAGAAGGATGTAGAACAAAATTCTAACACACCCAAAAAAGACCAGATTTACTGGCCTAAAGGAGACTGGAGAAACCCTGAGAGTATAGCCCCCAGACACCCTTTTAGCTCAGTGGTGAAGTTATCTCCGAGGTTCACCGTTCAGCCTGGGAGTGGACAGCCCCGTAAAACCAAATAGGACTAATGAGGTACAACAGTCCAGTGACAAGGGCCAGAAAGCAGAAGGGGACAAAAAAGCTGGTGATAAGGAACCCAAGGTTGAGTAAGGATATTGTTGAGGTGTTGTGCGATTGTTAACCATTGTCACAGGGCAACATTTGTAGTAACTGTTAAATGAGAAACTATTTTGTCCTGTAAGCCTTCATCTTAAGTGAGAATAGCAGCACAATTGGAAGAGCATAGTCAATGTCACTGAACTGTGCATGTAGAAATTTTTGAAATGGTGTATCTCTGGCTATGTGTATTTTCACCAAAAAAAAAGGTTGAGAAGTTAAAGGGTTGACATGTTGTGGGGTTGTTAACCAATGTCATAAAACAATATGTGTACTACTGTTTCATGAGAAACTATTTGTTCTGTAAGCCTTCACCTGAAGTACAATTAAAAAAAAAACAAACAAAAAAAACCACTGAGTAAAAAAAAAGGGGGGGGATGTACTGCTGTATTATTAACTTTAAGTAAAAATAAAAGCAACAATACGTTAAAGGCACTAAAGGCATTTCAGTGGGTGATTCAAGAAAGTGTGGCATTTAGAGGTGATTCTAAGAACACAGGAGAAAGGTTTTACTTGAAGAGTTGGTAAGTGATGCCGGAGAAGGAAGCCGGGTAGCAGGCAGTGAGATAACGGAGCGCTAAGAGAAGGCTCTGTTTCTGCTAGAAAGAAGAGCTATTGTTATGTTTGGCAGCAAAGGAAGGGAACAAAACTTTAAAAGGTGAAAGACTAGAACAAACAAGGATAGGAAGCGGAGATGAAGACAAGATTCCTAAAAAAACAAATACTTTGAAGGGTCAATTTTATTTTGGCCAGATAGATCAGCTTCAAAGAATCTTTTTAAACACATTTTTTTTTTCTCTTTCCTGATTACAAAAGCCATTACTATGCTAAGAAAAATAAAAGAAATAAAAATAAGCCAAAAATCCACTGATTTTTTTTTTTTAATTAACTTTTTTGGGTTACTTACTTCCATTTTTCTACACATTTCAGATAGTTTTTTTTTTTTAAAATATTTAGTTTATATCCATACATATTTTAAAGCAAAAATATATAGTTTTATGTCCTAATTTTTTTACTTAACATTATGTTGACAACACTTTACCCAAGAAACCTCAACACGGTGCTAACATACTAAACCTCTTTACCTGATGCACGTACTCATCCATACTTGAAGGCATATCAAAGTTGACAACCAGCTTGACATTGATCAAGTCCAGGCCTCGTCCCAGGACTCCTGTGCTCACTACAACTTCATAGTCTCCTTCAAGCAATCCCTTTCCAGAAAAGCAACAAAATTTATTACTACAGGATTTATTTTACGTGGTTTTATTTAGTACAGCTATCTTTTCTTTGTTCAATGCTTACTGCAATACTGTTGTTGCAGTATCTTCTCAATAAGGTCTTTATATACCTGAAAAGTGATGTAGCTTAAGTTCCCTGACACCATCACCAACTGCCACTGAGTCGACCTCAACTCATGGCAACATCACGGGTTTCAGGGCAGAACTGCGCTCCATTCAAGCACATGCGTTTTCAAGGCTATGGCCTTTTGGAAGCAGGTTACCAGGTCTTTCTTCTGAGGTATTTCTGGGTGCGTTCAAACCACTAACCTTTTGGTTAGCAGTTGAATGCTTAACTGTTTGCACCACCCAGGAGCTCCCAAGTTCTCCCCAACCCCCATTAAACATATTCTATTAGATTACCCAGGCAAACCTTTTCCAAAGGTAAATTACTGCTTTGCCCCAGTCCAAACTGACCTGATTTCAGAAATGGTGGATTCTGAATTAGTAATCTATTTAGTACATGCTCCTTAGACAACAAAGCTGACTGCTCTTAAGATAATGAAGCCCGAAACAATGAGGCCTGAGCAAGAGGAGCAATTAACTGCTTGCCTGAAGTTCTCAGAGTTATTAAAACAAGGTCTGCCTTAAAAACCAGCTGGTAATATGGGGTCTTTTGAAAATGGGGCAAAACAGGTTTACAGGGAAGAGAAGAATATGCAATATTGAGTGTCAAACCTTCAGTATGTTTTTCCTTTCTATTTGTGACTTCTCCGAATGTACAGATATGCTTTTTAGGCCTGTGATTTTCTGAACTGCCTCACTCAACAGATCCGCTCCTAGTCTGCAGTCCACAAACACTAACACTGGAGGCTTAAACAGTTTCTTATCCTGAAAAATTAAAAACATATATTTAAAATTAGTCGTGTAACATAATTTACAATGGAAAATTTTTCTGAAAGCATTTAGTACAAGCCGCTTGTCAACAGGTTTATAAATATTGTTAAGGGGGGAAGCATATTCTGCTAAAATGAGCATTTTTTAAAAAATATGCACGAACAGAAGCCAGTTTATTGCCCTTCACATTTCTCCAGCATTTCATCAGTATTACAAGAATAATTCATAAATTTTAAGTGCAACTGATATAATTTACATACTGTTCAAAAGTCAGTAACAGCGATATTTACCTAAATAATGTATCTCAGTAACTATGCTGTACATGTATCGCCCACTTAGCAAATATCTGTTTAGAGATTTACAGTTAAAAAACTGTACTTCTCAAGAACAGACTAGCCAAGAGAGATGTTAAGTCCCTCCCCCAACCTTCTATACAAAAACTACTGGAGATTGTTGGAAGAAGAAAAATAATACTTCAGGAATAATTTCTATATATAAATGTCTTTCTGTAATACGGAAAAGAAAAACCAATGCTGCATTTAAACAGCATTTTTCATTGTTTTCTCTCTCTCTCTCTCACACACACACACACACACACACACACACACACATTTGATCTTCACAGAATTCTGAGGTAGGTAAAGTAATTTATTATTAATTATCTCCATCTAAAAACATTCTCTTAAGTGCTTTTAAAAATATAAACACAAAACAATAAAGATCATGGAAGAAAAAATAGGGACAACGCTACGGGCCCTAATACACGGCATAAATACGATACAAACCATAACAATGCACCAACACTAGCCGATAAACTAGATAACTGTGAGCTACTAAAAATTAAACACACTCATCAAAAGACTTCACCAAAAGGGTGAGAAAACGACCTACAGACTGGGAAAATTGTTTGGCTATGACGTACCTGACAAGGGTCTCATCTCTAAAATCTATAAAATACTTCAACACCTCAACAACAAAAAAGACAAATAATCCAATTTAAAAATGGGCATAGGATATGAATGGACACTTCACCAAAGAAGACACTCAGGCAGCTAACAGACACATGAGGATATGCTCGCGATCAAGAGCCATTAAAGAAATGCAAATCGAAAGTACACTGAGATACCCTCTCACCCTAACATTACTGGCACTAATCAAAAAAAAAAGGAAAAAAAATGTTGGAGAGGTTGTGGGGAGACTGGAACTCTTATGCACCGCTGGAGGGAATGTAAAATGGTACAACCACTATGGAAAATGATATGGCATCTCCTTAAAAAGCTAGAAATAGAAATACCATATGATCCAGTAACCCCACTCCTAGGAGTATGTCCTAGAGAAATAAGGGTCATCACACATATAGACATATGCGCACGCATGTTAACTGCAGCATTATTCACAATAGCAAAAAGATGGAAATGACCCAAATGCCCATCAACAGATTAATGGATAAACAAATTATGGACATACACACAATGGAACACTACGCAATGATAAAGAATAATGACGAACCCGCGAAACATCTCACAAGATGGATGAATCTGGAGGGCATTATGCTGAGTGAAATAAGTCAATCACAAAAGGACACATATTATATGAGACCACTATTATAAAAACTCAAGAAAAGGTTTACACACAGAAAAAAAAACAATCTTTGATGATTAGGAGGGAGAGGAAGGGCGGGGAGGGTAATCACTAACTAGATAGTAGACAAGTGTTAACTTTGGTGAAGGGAAAGACAACACACAATATAGCACAACTTGATCAAGGCAAAATCATAGAAGCTTCCCAGACACATCAAAACACCTTGAGGGACAGAGTTCCTGGGACTGAGAGCTGGGAATCACGGTCTCGGGGGACATCTAGGATAGGTCTATTGGCATAACATAGTCCATAGAGAAAATGCTTTACATCCTACTTTGGTGAGTAGTGTCTGGGGTCTCAAGAGCTTGCAAGTGGCCATTTAAGATACATCTATGGGTCCCACCCTGTGCGAAGCAAAAGAGAATGAAGAAAACCAAAGACAGAAGAAAAATACTAGTTCAAAAGGACTAATGAACCACAGCCTCCACCAGCCTGAGCCCGGAAAAACTAGATGGTGCCTGGCTACCACCACCAATCACTCTGACAGGGATCGCAATAGAAGGTTCCGGATAGAAAGGGAGAAAAATGTAGAACAAAATTCAAATTCACATACACACACAAAAAAACCAGGCTTACTGGTCTGACAGAGACTGGAGGAACCCCTGAGACTACAGCCCCCAGACACCTTGCTGACTCAAAACTGAAGCCATCTTTCAGCCAAAGATTAGACAGGCCTATAAAACAAACACACGTGAGGAACTTTCTTCTTAGTTCAATCAAGTATACAAGACCAAACGGGCAACATTTGCCCAAAAGCAAAGACGAGAAAGCAGCAAGGGACTGGCAAACCCCACAAAAGGATACAGGGAACCCAGGTTGGCAAGGGAAAGGGGAAGAGTGCTGACACAATGTGGGCATTGCAACCAATGTCACAAAACAATCTGTATATAAATCTTTGAATCAGAAACTAATTTGTCCTGTAAACTTTCACCTAAAGAACAATAAAATTAAAAAAAAATTAGTTGAATTGTTATTGAGACTACATTATCTCATCCCCATTATGGATATAACATATTTTAACGATTCTTATATGAATGCGACCCAGTTAGATGTTCTGCACGACAATGAAAAGAACAAAGTGCTACTAAGAACTATCTGAAATCTGGGCAACAAAAAGTCAGCACATTTAAAGGCAAGATTCAGTTGTAGCCTTGGCAACAGATGGAACAAGCTGAACTTCTTTCTATCTGCAAGTCTCCTAATGACACTGTGTGGTTCCTGATATTAGAGAAAAGCAACTTTATTGCTACTATCATTCACATCCCTGCCACTTTATCTCAGTATCATTCAAGAGTGACTAGTTAGCAACAGGTAGTGATGCTCCAGGGAGACACAGTTACTTCTGTATGTCTGAAGGGACAGTAAGTGGAGAAAAATTCTATTAGTAACACTTCACTGATCTCCAGTACACCAAAATGGCTCAATCTGCAAAACTATATGGGGCAGCAATGCATTAAATTAGCTACAATAAGTCCCCTTTGAAGACTGGAATGCGCTTTAATGAAGTGCTCAGATTCGTTACAAAAAGAAAAAAAATATATATATAAACACAATCTACAAAACTGGGGTGACTGCTTTACTACTCACATTTAAAATTTCAAATAATTTTTTCTTTTTGGATGGTTCTTCTATCCATAAAATAATCTGGCGTACATTGGAACAAGGCAGGTTCTTTTCTCCAGTGGTAATTCTCACAGGATTATGCAAAAGTTGGCTTGCTAGTTGTTCCATGCTAGTCGGAATTGTGGCTGAAACCAAAATGGTCTGACAATCATTAGGAACATTTTCCAAAATGTCAAGCACCTGTTGTTGAAAGCCCATCTTTAACATGGTATCAGCCTGAAATAAAACCATTTGTAAGTTAGTGCTGCTTGCCATTAAACCCCAGAGCCACCATATGAAAGACTGGTATAATTAAGAATACAAAAATTAAACACTTTTACACAGAAAAATATACCACAATGTCAAAAGACACAGGACCTATTGGGAAAAACTATATATATTTATATACAATTACATATCATGGAACTATATATATTTACTATGATTCTGCAAAGATTTTCATTATAAACCCCAAAATCCACTGCCCTTGAGTTGATTCCAACTCATGGCACCCCTTATGGACAAAGTAGAACTGCCCCATGTGGTTTCCATGGCTGCAATCTTTAAGAAAGCTGACTGCAACATCTTTCTCCCACAGAGCAGCTGATGGGTTCAACCCTCTGCCCTTTCAGTTAGCAGCCGAGCACTTAACCACTGCACCACCAGGGCTCCCTTATTTTCATTACAACATTATTAGTAGTAGCAAAAAACCATACACATCCTAATTGTCCATCAACAGGGGATTTGGTAAGTAAATCATGGTATACATATTGGAACACTGCTGATATAAAAAAAAAAAATCAGAAGGTCCTTTATTAAATGATACAGAATAATTGTTAAGAGTGAAAAAGCAAACTACAGAACATTATGTTATCTGTGTATACACTCAAGAAACATAATTGCTAACAATGGGGAGAAGGACTAAAGCCTGTGGTGCGGAAGGCAACTTCGTTTTTCATTTTACAGTGTTTTGCGCAGCTTCAATTTTTTTTTTTTTAACCATGAACACATTACTATATTTATAATATTACTTTAAGTTAAAACATTTAATGTTGGGGGCCTTCCACTTCTGTATTGTTGGTTTTTTTAAAAAAACATGTATTCCTAAACAAAAAAATATCTTCTCTTTAAGTTAGTACTGCTTTCAAAAAATAAAGATTAAGGCTATCTTGATTTTCAAATACAATTTAGGTGTCTATAATTTGGGAACACTAAAATATTTAATACTTCATTAAGGCATTGTACTGTCAAAGTCTGAACAATCATTTTAATATTATCATAAAAAATACAAAATAATCATGACTAACTGGCTTTGAATCCTGGCTCCACCTATGACCTTGTATAAATTAATTAATGGCTTTATCCTTTAGTTTTTTCCCTTTGTAAATGGGAATAATAGTGCAGGTACTCCCCAACTTATGACACGGTTCCCTTCCGATGACTCTGTTGTAAGTAGGTTCTAATGTAAGTAAAATATCTCTTTTTTTTTTCTTCAGTATTATTGCCTTTTATAAACAGTTACCTTTATAAATCCAATCTTTATTTGTCTTTGGGGGTTGGAAACATTACATATAAACTTACAGATATGATGACATCAGCAAATTACATGCTGCAACACTGTATGTAGTACGTATTACTGACAAGAAGATGCACCAAAAAAAGGACAGTCATAAGTGCGGTTCGTCATAACTCAAAAAGTCACAAGTCAGGGACCATCTGTACCTACCTTAGGAGCTCTGGTGGTACAGCGGTTAAAGTGCTCGGCTGCTAATCCAAAGGTCGGCAGTTTGAAACCACCAGCCCCTCCAAGAGAAAGATGTGGCAGTCGGCTTCCGTAAAGATTACAGCCTTGGAAACCCTATGGGGCAGTTCTACTCTGTTCTACAGGGTTGCTATGTGTTGGAATCGACTCAACAGCAATGGGTTTTTAATGGGTTTACCTCATAAGGTAGATATGAGTATTAATGCGGTAAAGTATAAAAGTATATATACTTATGAGAGTACAACATAGTCTCAGCCAATGTTTCAATTAATTATGAAGCCTAGAAAATACACACACACACAATCTATGTGTCTTCCAAACACCCCCCACCCCTTTTCCTTAATAATGCCACCAAGCACCTCTGTAGATGGGCTTCTCTTGGCCATTAGAAATAAATTCCTTCAGCTCCCTTTCTCACTCAAGCTTCCTAAAAGAGCAGTCTAGATCTGCTGTCTCCATTCCTCCATGTTCTCATATCCCAGGCCCTGTTCAACCCACTAGTCCTCGCATCTCTCACCTCACTGGAACCACTCTCCTTCAAGCCGTCAGTGCCTCCCCAGCTGTCAAACTTAACAACTAGTTATTAGGCTTCATTTTACCTTTTTTTAAAAAATCTTTTTAAAGATATTTTTATTTTTTCTAATAATAAAATTAATATCCTCACTGTATAAAACTTGATAAATACAGAAAAGTATAAAGAACTAAACTTCCTATTATTCCACACTGCAAACATCACAACAGCCTCCCTTACTTCCAATCTCTCCTAAACACGTTTGGAAATCTGTCACTCCACATCCATCCCATACTCCCTTCTCTTCAAGCAGCTGGACAGATCCTTCTAGACCACAAATCAGATCTTGCTATTCCTCTACTTAAACCTTCCAGTAGCTTCCCATCAAACTTGGAATAAAATCTAACTCCTAATCATGGCTTAAACGTCCGACAAGTTCTCGTCCTTGCCGTCTCCTCTGACTTCATCTCTTACCACTCTCGCCCATCACTCTCCATGACCCTGCCACACCAGCTTCCTGTCTGTCCCTAAATGCCTCACGCTCATTCCCACGTTAGCGCCTGTGCACTGGCTATTCTCTCTGTCCGAAAGTCTACCCTACAGATGGATCTTCACATGGCTAGCTCCTTCTCAGTCATATCTCAGCATGAACGTCACCTTCCTCAGAAAGCTATCCCCTGACCACCAAGCTAAGGTAACCCCCAGGTGTCTGCCATATTACCTTATGTACATTTGCCACAGCTCCATGAGACAGAGTGCTCATCTGCTTCACTTGCCATTGTATACCCAGAACCAAGAATAGTGTCTAACACATAAAAAGACCTAAAAATGTATTCGATAAACGTAAGCATACTCATTAATTCTAAGCACTTAACAAGTACCTAACTATAGGTCAGGCACTTTGTTAGTCAGTATGTCCCAAACCTCCTTAAGAATCACCCAGAATGAGTTTAAAGGATTCCTGGGACACAACTCAGACCTAAACAAAAAAAAAACAAAAAAACAAAAACAAAAAAAAACAACCCACTGTCATTGAGTTATGTCCACTCACAGAGACCCTATGGGGCAGAGTAGAACTGCACCATAAGAGTTTCCAAGGCTGTAAACCTTTTTCTAGGGATACAGCAGGAAACACAATATGAAAGAAATAATAAAGTCTGTAAAGAGCTCAACAGAACAGACAGGAAAGCAAGCCTGAAGTCTGTCTGTGGAGGAAGGTTTCACAGAGTCACAGGCACTAAAAGAAGGAAGAGGTGGTGGCTGGGGTGGAAGAGCATTCTAAGCCAAAGGGCAGGCATGAGCGAGACACAGAGGGTGACAGCAAGTTCTTCTAATTCCAAAGGAATTATCTTTTTTTTTTTTTTTCTCATTCCTGACCATTCTAGTGGCCTCACCCTCCTCTTTGTGTTCTCTCTTCTTCCGGGATATTATTCATTCCTAGCTCCTCTCTGGTCTCTCAGACTACTTCTGTTTACTGACTCAACTTCCAAACTCCAGGCCCTTAGCCCTAGTCTTTATCTCTCTCTCTGCTTATTTCTCTCTCAGCTTCCTCCCTTAGAGAAACCATTACATCTCATGGATTCTGACACACATTTCCAATATCTACAGAATACTTCCTCTTAGAAAGCTCATCGCTCACATGAAATCCAACGTGTCTAAAACCAAACTCAAATAGTACCAAGACTCCACCCCTTGCCCAATTGCCCTTTTTTAAAATTAAAGGCACAACTATTCTTTAATTTATGGAGTCATTTCTAACGCCTTCCTGTTCTTCCCCTCTCATATTCAGTCATCACAAGACTCATAAATTATATACAGTGACTCTCAGACTTAACCCTTCTTGACTCCAACCGCCTCCACCCTGCCCCTGACCCTTTTTATCTCTTGTCTGTATTACTGGCTACTCTGTCTCTGATTCTGTCTTCTTTAATTTCTCTTGCACAGAGCAGCAGAACAACCTTCCTAAACCACCACTTTCAACATGCTACACCCCAACTCAATAATTTAGAAAGCCTCATTGTCTCCCACATCAAATCCAGATTCCTCTGTCTGCCTTTCATGGCCCTCTATAATTTGACCCCACCCTAACTATGCAACCTTACTTCCTATTATTTCTCAAGAACTTTCCAGGCTGGCAAGTCTCTGCTCTGCCCTCGCCACACACACACTCTGACTTTCGTTCTCTGCTTGTGTTAGGCTCTTCACCTGGAAGAGTTAATAGAGATTCTAGTTTTCTAAATCCTTTCCCATTTTTCAAGGCCCGGGTCAAATCTCCTTACTTCTGAGAAGCCATTTTTTTAAGTGCCAGTAAATTTATTTTCTCATTTCTCCTCCCGACCCTTATTTGTCCTGAACAATTAGCGTATCATATACAGTCCTATTATTTTACTTACTACCCACACACAAAAAAACCATTGCCATTGAGTCGATTCTGACTCATAGCGGTCCTATAGACAGAGTAGAACTGCCCCACAGCGTTACACGGAAGTCAGCAAACTACAGCTCCTGGGACAAATTTGGCCTTCTGCTTTTTTAAATAAAGTTTTTTGGAACAGTCACACCTATTCATTATATATTGTCTATGGCTGTATTGAGTAGTTGCTACAGAGGCCATAGAGCCCCACACTCTAATATATTTACTACCTGATTCTTTACAAAAAAAGTTTGCTGATCTCTGATCTACATCATACATTTCAGTACCTTATCTCAGTACCAGTATATATGATAATGTTCTTGCTTTTATTTCAAGTCTATGTGTCTTTTCTCTCCAAAAAGATTTCAGCACCTTGTAATCTTGAATGGTATTTAAAACTTCTCTGTGATGCCAACCGAACTTCTCTGGAATTGGTCAATCTGTACGTAAATAACACTTCTGGGCTTACTTCAATTTCAGTGCAGAACCAATTTTGTTGTTTACCAGCTCATTCCTCCTCTAAAACACAGAACTCATATTCCTTAAATGCCGAGGAGCCGGAAGCAAGGCTGCACATGGATATTTCTTTTGTACCATAACAATGAACACAGCACCAATGTGATCTATGAAACCTTGTTAATTAGAGAAAACAAAAATGTTGAAGAGAAGTGAGGGTGAATGGGACCTAACTTTAAATGCCATATAACACTCATCTATTAGGTTCATGAGATGAGAAGAACTTAAGAACATGGGCTTACCATCAAAGGGAAGCCCAGTCATACTTTCGGGTTACTGTAAGTCTGATGATATTCAGATACAAGAAATTAGTTCCATCAAAAGAACATGCTAGGCATAGGGCAACATGTGTACTAACTGTTAATAAGAAACTATTTTGTTCTGTAAACCTTCATCTAAAGTGAGAATAGCAGCACAACTGGAAGAATGTAATCAATGTCACTGAATTGTGCATGTAGAAATTTTTGAAATGGTGTATCTCTGGCTATGTATATTTTCACCAAAAAAAAAAAAAAAAGGTCAAGAAGGGAGAGGGTTGACATGTTTTGGGGTTGTTAACCAATGTCATAAAACAATATGTGTACTGACTGTTTAATGAGAAACTATTTGTTCTGTAAACCTTCACCTAAAGTACAATTAAAAAAAAAAACATGCTAGGAAAAACTGATTTAACAGCACTTTTTAAAGGACTGAATAATACTGTTTTACATTTATACAGAACTTTCAGTTTATAAGATATTTTCAGTCATTATTTTATCCTCACCGATTAAATGACTTCCCCAAGGTCTCACAGTAGGTGGCGTAAAGGCTCAAACCTCAGTTCTGCAGGTCTTGGCTACCATGTTCTTATCACTCCTCTGGTACCTGCTGCTACTTACTGGGGCCCCAGAAGGCAGGCTCATTAGTGAGCACCTGGCACCCCACCTTTCCGATCACTGCTGGTAAGCCAGGCCTCTGCTGTGTCCCTGCCTGTGGGACAAGCGTGCAGGCAGATGTGCCCTGCAGGCAGGAATGACACAGGCCCAGTGCGGGCTTGCGTATGGCTTTGTGCTCTCATGCTGGTTCACAAGGTGGACTATCATGAAATAACAACACACCTCATCTTATTAAGCAAAACGAAAGCAGCAAAATGATTAAGTTGTATGTGTAACAGACAATCACAACTACAGATGAATATATATTTTCACAAAAAAGGAAAAAGAAAGAAATAATAAAGGCCATCCAAGTTACTTCTAAGCATCAAATCTTTAAAAATCTTATTGCGAATACAGTATCCACTGAATTTATGTTTTCTGTCAGTAAGGAAAAGACAGCTAAAGTTTAACTATAGTGCACCATACCTTTGTTTGGAGCCCTGGTGGCACACTGGTTGAGAGCACAGCTGTTAACACAAAAGGTGGGCAGCTCGAATCCACCAGGCACTCCTTGGAAACCCTATGGGGCAGTTCTACCCTGTCCTATAGGGTCGCTGTGTGTCGGAATCCACCTGACAGCAGTGGTTTTATATCTTAGTTTAAGCTGCATGTTGGAGAGATACCAGCTTAAGAACTTCTACTGCAATTTTTTTAAAAAAATTCTTGAATTATTTTTCCTTTGGGAGAGAAAACGTCTGAATACACAATGAAAGCATGTAACTATTACAAACTTTTCATAAATTATTTAAAATTATATAGCTAATGTTTTTTAAACATTACTTACTTCATCTACTACTACAATTTTTATATTGCAGAGTTCTACAGCGCTCTGTTTTATTATATCCAGAAGTCGCCCAGGGGTTGCTATGATAACCTGAATGAAAGAGAAAAAGAAAATTAAAAAAAAAGTAGAAATTAGTTAATATTCACTCATTCATTTATTCTATATTTATTGAGTGGGTATTACTATGTGCCAGATACACTGTGTTAAGCACTTGGAATTCAATGATGAGTAAGTCAAACATAGTTCCTGATCTCACGACTATATATATATTTATAATATAAAGTGTGGTGCCATAGATCGCTTTTGTGTGGCCCTTGTAGCCATGGTCTTGTAACTCTCACCCAAGTGATTGGGCAGGACTGTGTAACAGGGTTAACTGTGGCTCACAAAAGGGACTGGTCATCCCACTGGGTTTGAAATGAGCCATCCCAGAGGCAGGAAAGGGAAGAGCCCACCACCACCAAGGAAGGAGAGACTGGCAAAAGAGACCCAAGGAGACAGCGCAGTGGGCTTCCTGGCCCATGGGGCGAGAAAGCTGAGTGCCTCTGGGCAGAGACGGAGTGCCAGGGAGATGCATGCCTGTGAGCACAGCTGGGAAGAGGCTGTCCTGATGGAAGAACTGTATTCTGAGTGTTCCTGAGCCTGAACTGTAACTGTTACTTCCCTAAAAAAACCCATAATCGTGACTATTGTCTGTGAGTTGTGTGTGGCCACTGCAATAAATTATTAAACCCAGCAGAGAAATAGAGAGTGCCGGTGGAGGGACGGTTGGTGTCAGAATTGGTAAGGATGGTGGAGAGAGGAGGCTTGTTAGGCCTCCACCTCATGGGAGTCAGCCTTACGCTGTTCATCTTGGTTCTCCTTCCCCTTTGTGTGGCTGGAGGCAGTCAGACACCTCCCCCATGCCATTATTATATAAAGGGAAAGACAAATAAATAAATGCTCATGAGATAAGTACAGTATGCAGTAAGAACCCACTTGGAATGGACCTATCCAGCCTCAGAGGAGCCTTGGTGGCACAGTGGTTAAGCGCTCAGCTGCTAACTGAAAGTCTGGCAGTTCAAACCCACCAGTCACTCCACAGGAGAAAGATGTGGTAGTCTGCTTCCATAAAGATTTCCAGCCTTGGAAACCCTATAGGGCAGTTCTACTCTGTCCTATAGGGTTGCTATAAGTCGGAATCAACGTGAAGGCAACATGTTTTTGTTTATCCAGCCCCATACACACTTGACTACCTGCTGAAAGGATGGCGGTTCCAACCCACCCAGAGGCACCTTGGAAGAAAGGCCTGGAAATCTGCTTCTGAAAGGTCATAGCCTTGAAAACTCTATGGAACAGTTCTACTCTGACACCCATGGGTTGCCATGAGTCAGAACTGATGTGACAGCAACTGGTTTGGTTTGGGTTTTTATTCAGCCCCACCTAACACTTAAGCTAAAACCTCAAGGACTAATGGGAGTGAGGAGGGTGAGGAGTGGTCTAGACAGAGGGAGAAGCACCTGAGAAGGTTCCCAGGCTGCGCAACCAGTGAGGCACGCCTGTGGTGAGCTGGGGGTGGAGGGCATAGGATGAGGCTTGAGAAGTTGACAGGGACCAGAATAGGAACGGCCTTGCGGGCAGTGTGACCACTATCTAGCTCTGTGAACAAGTGCAAATTCCTTAGCCTCTTAGGGCCTATTATTTCATTTCTAAATTAAGAGGTTGCTTTCAGCTCTTCATGGTTTTATAATTCATTAGTTGAAGTAGTGGTTAAAAAAGTAAGGGCTCTTTAGTCAAACAAACCTAGGTAGGAAATGTAGCTCTAGCATTTAATAATGGAGTGAGTCTCTGTTCTCAAATAAGACAGCACTTGACACAAAGTGGAGTTGTAAATGATCTAATAAATTCCACTGTATTCCATTTTTCAAATACACACTGAAAGGATGGCAGAATCACTGAAAACGATAAAATCTCAGAATTATAAGGATCTGGATCCACAAAACTATAGGGTTCTGCTTAGGTCCTTCAGCAATACCATAAACATTTACAATAAATTCATTATTTTGAATTGAGCTCACCCCTTCTATTCCCCTTCTTTTTTCCTCTGCTGGTTTGGAAGTTATAAATGCTTTTTTTAAAAAATTATTCTTTTAGTGTTTCTCCTCGAATTTTAACAAACATATATAACTTAATAAAGTCTAAAGTTAATCAACATTTTTACTTTTTTCTTGCATAATCAAGGACAAATGCTTTAAGTCAACCACATCTCTTCTGCACTTATATGCTACTGTTAGCCAGTATTTTACTTCTATCTACTTTTTCTTAAACCCCTAAAATGTTAATTATTATTACTATTTTTTTCAGGAAATGTTTGTTTAGATTTACCCACACGTTTACCATTTCCTTTGCTCCCCACTCTCTCTTCCACCCCACACCCTCCTTCTGGAATCATTCTCCTTCTTTGCAGAATCTCTTAGTTTAGAAGTTCCTTTACTTGGTCCATTGGTAATGCACTCGGTTTTGTTTATCTGAAAAAGGTCTTTATTTAGCCCTTGCTCTTGAAAGATAGTTTTGCTGAGCAGACAGTTGTTTCAGAGAGGGTGTCCATGAGGGAGCACACCCTGGTGTGGGGAGGGGGACTGGCAGAAGGGTGAGGAAGAAGTCTCCACAGAAGGGCAGCCCTGCACAGGCAGCCCTGCATGGGACACTGGAGCCTAAGGGGGTGAGGAAGGTATGTTACGGGGAGGGGAAATGCCCCAGCTTGAACTGGTCAAGTCCAGGGAGGAGGGTATCACTGTGAAGAAGGGGGCAGTGGTGATGATAGGAGATTGGTTACATATAGGGGGATTTATCAGATGAATAAAATATAAAGGATAACAAATGACAGGTTTCTTACTTTCAGAAAAGGAAGTTACAAATACGGAAACGGAAAACCTAAAATGAATCTTCTGCGTGGAATCAGAATTGGAAGTATCCACATACACTCATGGTCTCCAATAAACATATATATAGGAATCCATACACATGCATCTATTCCCTAGCTCTATCCACTGAGATGTCCTGGAAGCAGTGATAGCCCAAGAACAATGAGCAGCACACCTTGAGCCCAGATCTTGGTTTCTAAATACTATTCTCTACTGAAAAAAAACAGGGCTCCTCGGAGAAAGGCATGATTCCTAGGGAAACAACAAGATGAGCCTGAAAAGTAACAAACTAATCAAAGAATAATGAGGATATAATAAAAGGACACAGAAACCAACTTGAAGGGGCACCCACCCCACTGGTCAAGTTAGGACAGTGAAGTATCAAAATAAATGATAGTTAACAATTATAGCCTTTGAATAAGATAGGAAACCCTGAGTCCATAATGATATAGATAGATAAATGGATGAAAGAAACAAAGAGAGAAAAAGAGTGATAGGGTTTGGTGAAGAACAAAAAAAATACATACTAACTATGAAAGAGGAAAAAAACCTTTACACTTACTTTACAGATCCCATCACCAATCCAGGGACACATTGAAATTGTGTGAAATCTAAAAGGATGCAATGTAAAGAATAAAGCATCTCTTCCATGATATTCCTGTCAAAGATACATAACTTGACTCTAATCAATTGAGGTACGTTCTTCAAAGTAAGTATCACGTAACCTCAAAAGTGTCAGGATCATCGGAAAAGAGGAAAGACTGAGGAAGAACTGTTCCAAATTGAAGGAGATGAAAGACACATGTCAACTAAATGCAAAGCACAATTCTGAACTGGATCCCTGTGCTATTAAAAAAAATCTGATGGGACAATTAGCAAAACTTGAATAGGGTCTGAGGAGCAGATGATATCAATGTTAATTCCTAATGTATTCAGGTGTATCAAGGTTAATTTCCTAACTCTACAATTGTATTGTGGTTATAGAGGATAATGTTTTTGATTGTAGCAATCACACACTGAAGTTTACAGGGGTAATGGGCATCATGTTACGAACTTATTTTAAAAGTCCCAGGGGGAAAATAAACTATGCTATACTTGTAACTTTCGAGAAAATTATCAAAACACTGTGCCCACTCATACACGTTACCTTCTAGACGGTATATGCTGCAGACTACTACCAGTGCATTAACTTATTTTTTTTAGATCTCAGAAAGAAGCTTTTCTGTAGCTTCTTGGTCATTTTTGTTTAACCAAAGGGTACCCTGGGAAGGCCAGGTTAGTTGATTAAAAGCTATTAGAATTTGTGGCTACTTATCCATGTGAATCAGGGTCTTCTCTGCTTTGTGCAATGAAAATGCATTACTGAGGAGGCTGATAGGAATCTGCAGTTAAAATCCATTACCCCAACTTGAAAGCTGATGTCCATCAAAAACATTTTTGTTTAGAGACTGGAGAAACCCCGAGAGTATCACCCCTGGACACTCTTTCAGCTCAGTAATGAAGTCACTCCCAAGGTTCACCCTTTAGCCAAAGATTAGACAGGCCCATAAAACAAAACGAGACTAAAGGGGAACACGAGCCCAGGGGCAAGGACCAGAAGGCAGGAGGGGACAGGAAAGCTGGTAATAGGGAACCCAAGGTCGAGAAGGGAGAGTGTTGACATGTTGTGGGGTTATTAACCAACGTCATAAAACAATATGTGTACTAACTGTTTAATGAGAAGCTAGTTTGTTCTGTAAACCCTCATCTAAAGTACACAAAAATTTAAAAAAAGGTGCCACCCATTGGATGTTTCTTTTTAATAATGGGAAATTTGGCTAACGCTTATTAAAATTTTATTTCTACATGTAACACTTTATTACACTGAAAAACTATATAAAATGCATTTTTAGCTCCTGGGACCAGTTCTCTCTCTCCTCACCTTCCAATTAAAAGACTTGAATATATAAGAATCTATACAAAATCTGTAAAAAGAAATTTGTTTTAACTCTTACAGCCCACAGATACCCTATTTGATAATAATGATACTGATGATTTGATATTAATGATTTGTTTAATGATGGCTGCCTGGTTAAGAGCTATTTAAGCAATTGTTTACGTTTTAAAAAATCTTATTACATATTTGGACCATTGTTTATTCAGAAACAGCAGTTCACCTGTTGTGATTTAGTGCCTAGAGCAAAGTAACATAAAATTAAGGGTTTGCCC